ATTTATATCTATACTTATCATAAAAGCCTTAATATTTCAATGCTGGAAAGGACAATCTGAATCTAAAGAAAATATCTTCTTAAATTAAAATATTAAAAAAAAACAGTTAACAGCCAGCAACTCCTGGGAACTCACAATAGTCAGGTGCAAATCAAAGCATTTTACATGAATTAACCCAACCCTAATAACCCTCTGAGGTAGGTACTATTACAACCTCTTTTTCGGAGACATAGAAACTGATGAATATCCAAGCTAGTAAATGAAGGCACTAAGACTTAAACCCAGTTAAAACTGGCTCCAAAGCCCACATTCTTAACCACTGCCCAATGAAGTATAATGAGGGCACAATTGAGCATAAATTGTAATGGCTTTGGAGTCAGTTTAAATTTGAATGCTGGCTCTGCCACTTACACGGTGTATGACTTTGGGCAAACTTAAGCTCTTTGTGTCTTAGATTCCTTGGCTATAAAATGGAGATAATTAAATGAGGCAATGGATGAAAAAACATTTAGCACAGTGTCTGGAACATAACAATGTCTACTAAGTCCTTACTATTTCTAATTCTACTTTCATGAATATACAAGAACAATCCAACAATGTCTACTTTGGGATGGACTTCCCTGGTGGCGCAGTGGTTAAGAATCCGCCTGCCAATGCAGGGGACACGGGTTCGAACCCTGGCCCGGGAAGCTCCCACATGCCATGGAGCAACTAAGCCCGTGCGCCACAACTACTGAGCCTGTGCTCTAGAGCCCATGAGCCACAACTACTGAGCCCGCGCGCCTAGAGCCCGTGCTCCACAAGAGAAGCCACTGCAATGAGAAGCCCGCACCCCTCAACAAAGAATAGTCCCCACTCACCGCAACTAGAGAAAGCCCGCGCATAGCAACAAAGACCCAACACAGCCAAAAACATAAATAAAATAAAAATTTAAAATTAAAAAAAAAAGAATCCACCTGCCAATGCAGGGGACACAGGTTTGAGCCCTGGTCTGGGAAGATCCCACATGCCGCAGAGCAACTAAGCCCATGCGCCACAACTACTGAGCCTGCAGTCTAGAGCTGCGTGCCACAACTACTGAAGCCTAGAGCCTGTGCTCCGCAACAAAGAGAAGCCCATGCACTGCAACGAAGAGGAGCCCCTGCTCGCCGCAACTAGAGAAAGCCCGGGCGCAACAACAAAGACCCAAATGCCACCAAAAATAAATGTATTTAAAAAAACAAAAAACAATGTCTACTTTGGGGACTCTAAGCAAAAATAGCAAAGGGTTCTCTTCTTTCATCTATACTTCTTTCCTTCCTATGATTCCAGAAATGCATATACTATTCCAATAATCCAATAATCTCATTTCTCATAAGAAGTATATTAAATCAGATTAGCAGTTAGAGCAGTCTTATATTCTGTCTCCCACAGAGATACCTAATAACTTGGGTAAGGACAACAGTACAGTTATGCGACAATTTCAAAAGATTCTGGACATTGCTCAAACATCTAACATTTAATAAAAATTCACGAATGTACTTACTTTAACCTTTACCAAATTAAAAAAAAAATACCGAGTTCATAACATTTCTTGGGATTACAAGATAACTATTTGCTATTATTTGTTCTATTACTACTTATTCCAAGCTTCAGAGTTCCTTATTTTAGTGTTCCCAATCTTCCTGATTTATGTGGTTAGAAAATACTCTCCTTCAATCTCCATTTTTCAAAATACTGCTTCTGTACTCATGTGAAAGTCTCTCAGTTTTTTTTATCTACTTATAACTGAACTTCTCTAAGGCTTTTCGGTTTTTTTGTTTTTTGTTTTTTTTTGCGGTACGCGGGCCTCTCACTGTTATGGCCTCTCCCGTTGCGGAGCACAGGCTCCAGACGCGCAGGCTCCGCGGCATGTGGGATCTTCCCGGACCGGGGCACAAACCGTGTCCCCTGCATCGGCAGGCGGACTCTCAACCACTGCGCCACCAGGGAAGCCCGCCTTTTCCATTTTTGAAGCATTTTTCTTGAGATGATTTAGTGGAAAGAACACTGGGCTAGGAGCCAGGAGTCCTCACTCTGCCGTCTCAACTCTCAGATTCCTCATCTTAAAAGGCAAGAGGATTGCAATAGATAAATTTGTAATAGGTTAACTTATAGCTCTAAGCCTCATATTTCCAGGACTCTGGGTCTTCCAACTAGAAATCATTCAGTGTGCCAACAATTTCCCTAAACTTTACTCCAGTTAGCCAAGGAGGAGTAGGCATGTTCAGATTCAGGGGCAGAGTAAGACACATTAATCGGAAAGCCCAGGGCTACAGAAGGAAAGACATGGTATTTTGTGAATCAACAGAAAAAGATAAGTAAGAAAAATGAGATGACAAGAAGAAACAAAGACAGAAAAAAAGTCAGAAACACACAGTCTAACTCTAATCTCATACCTACACACCTATTTGAAGAAGAACTAAGAAACAAAAAGTTTTGGGAGAAGAGGTTATCCAGCCCTCTTATCTACCTCAAGGGAGCAAGGCAACTCTATGACATCTTTGCAATGTTGTTGCTAAAATGGCCTACTACAGTGCTTTGCACAAAACAGGCATTACTGGGGTATCTGATGACTGAATTAATGTTCAGATGACCTGAAAGTCCTCATAAATGCTACTGGTACTGCTACATACCAGGAAATCTGAGAGCTCAAGGCAATGGGAAATACAAGGCACTGGCTGTCCTGGTTCTAAGGGGAAGGAAACTAAATTAGTTGGGAGGGGGGAAGATTTGGCCTAATGGCATAACTTATGAGCTGATGGTACTGGAAGCAGCTTCCAGAAGGTAAAAGGACAGATTAACAGGCACAGACCATCTCTAAGGCAATATTATAATATGTATGAAAGTATTTCCTACCCTAGTGTCAGAGTCCAAGAAAGCACTATCTTTTCTAAAGTTTCCTTCCAAAGAGTCAGATCTTCTTGGCTTATGATTGGTTAGGGGGCAGGGGAGAGTAAATCAATAAAGGGATAAGGAAGTTGGGCAGTTCTAAAAATTCTCAGGGCAGCCCTATTTTGGTGTTTCTCAAAGTGTGGTCCCTGAATCACCAATAACAGACCAAGGGAGGGGGTGCCTGCTTAAAATGCAGACTCGGAAACCCATCACTGATCTCCAGAATCAAATTTCTGGGAGAGGTACAAATCAAAACCACATGAGCTATCACCTCACACCTGTCAGAACAGCTATCATCAAAAAGAACACAAATAAAACATGTTGGCAAGGATGTGGAGAAAAAGGAACCCTTGTACACTGTTGGTGGGAATGTAAATTGGTGCAGCCACTGTGGAAAACAGTATGGAGGTTTCTCAAAACAACTAAAAGAGAACTACCATATGACCCAGCAATTCCACTCCTGGCTATATATCTGAAAAAAACAAAATCACTAATTGGAAAAGATATATGGACCCTAATGTTCACAGCAGCATTATTTACAATTACCAAGATATGGAAGCAACCTAAGTGTCCATCAACAGATGAATGGATAAAGAAGATGTAAAATACACACACACACACACACACACACACACACACACACACACAAATGGACTACTACTCAACCATAAAAAAAGAATGAAATTTTGCCATTTGCAGCAACATGGATGGACCTGGAGGGCATTATGCTAAGTGAAAAGTGAGAGAAAGACAAATACTGTATGATATCACTTACATGTGTTATCTAAAAAAATACAACACACCTGTGAATATAACAAAAAAGAAGCAGACTCACAGATACAGAGAAAAAAACAAGTGGTTACCAGGTAGGGGTGGAATAATATAGGGCTGGGGGAGTGGGAGGTACAAACTATTGGGTGTAAGGCTCAAGGATGTACTGTACAACACGGGGAGTAGAGCCAATATTTGGTAATAACAGTAAATGGAAAGTAACCTTTAAAAATTGTATAAACAATTTTAAAAATTATTTTAAAAAATTTCTGGGAGGGGCATTGGTACTTTTAAGGAGCAAACTTATGTTTGAGAACTAGGGTCCCAGAATTTGGGTCGTGGGGGGTGGGGGTGGGGAAGAGGAGTTAAGGGTGGAGTTCTTCAACCGGATTCTTCAAATTCAACTGCTGTAACTACAACACTGTTTGGAGGACCATTAAAAAAAGAACCTTAATTTCTCAGGTAACAGCTGCAGCTAGTTGTTTAACAGCTAACAGGGGCACAATTAAAGGGCCTGGAAAATTCATTTTCATAAACTGGTTAAACAGTTCCTCAGTCTGTTTATCCTGTTAGTTTGTTCACTGGTTTCTCCTTCAAAAATAAATCGGATCAATCCAGGAATTTTCAGAAAGAATCACAAACTCCAAAATAGAAGAGGTTTTTTTTTTTTTTTGATAGTGCAGAACTAGGCTTTTAAACCCGAAAACACTGAACGGTATAAAAAGTAAGGTTTTATTTAAAAGAAAATTACCAGTTGAGGCTCCCCCAGCTCTTCTGCACTCAGAGGCACTGATAAAAGCTAGTAATTTGTGGATGGCAGAGAAGGAAGACTGAAGCAGGGGTGCAAAGAGCGAGAAGTCCGACCAACTACCTAATTTTTAATGAATTCAGTTAACTGCCACAAAAAACACGTCTGCAAATGTTTTATCAATAAACACTCCGGGGCTCTCATCATTCCTCTTCTGTTGGGATTAAAAACACCAAAGGCCTGCAGGAAAGTCAAATTATACTTTAGTTGTCCCCACGACTGTGTTGACGATTTCCACACAAGGTGACCCCCCTTCTTCCCCGGATTACCAAGCTTTACCCTCAGCACGGAAACTGGCGCCTGAAACCCATTTGCCAACGTTGTGCCTCGAGATGACTGTAGCCCCGCGAGCTTTCAAACGGGGTCCGACCCGGCGAGCTGCCGCCCGAGCCGCGTCCTGAGGAGTCGGCCCCCTACCCACGACACAAAGGCACCTTCCGGGGCCAGGCCCGCTGCCGCACTCGGCCCGCCGGGTCTTCGAGGCGAACGGTCTCGTGCCGCCACTTACCTGAAGCTCCCTGCCGCGCTCTCGCGCTCGGGGGCCGAATCCGCCCGGGAGGCGCGCGCACACGGCGCCGCAAGCAGCCGCCCCTCGGACAGTCCGGGCCGCAGCGGCGCGCGCCCCCCAGCCCCCGCCCCGGCCCGCGCGGCCACACGGCTGAGTCACCCGGCGCTTCAAGTTAAGAGTCCCCCTTCGGCGCGCGGGGCACGCCGGGAAGGCCGGGCTCCGGCCAACCCCCCCCCCCCGCCCCGTCCCACGCAGTACGCTCTCACCGCTGCACAGCCACGGTAGATCGATTTCTGAGCTTCGGATACCCTCTTTCAATTATTAAAAGTCTGAAACGGAAAAGTTAGTAGTTATCTGAATTGTGAAACAAGCTCGCCCAGCCCCGGGACAGCCAATGGTTTTAGAAAATTGTGGAGCCCGGATCTTTACATACGTTTGCGGGGAGGAGGTAGTGAGAATAATGGAGTTCCTTAAACACCTTTTGCTTGGAAATCCCTCTCCTGGATATGCATTCTGACCTAGAGGAGGGAGGAAAACGCCACGTTTTTCTCAAACCTTCAGTTTAAGGAAACTACATAGTATAGCAAACAAAGCTGAATTACACATTTTTAATCAACCTGAAGCAAATTATTGGAAAATTGGTTGTGTTACTAGTGAAATATTACAACACTCAAAAAATTAGCTATGTATAGTCCATGACCTATAAAGCGTAAAAGGAAAGAAATAGCATCAGTCCTTTCTGTCATGATTTCTACTGGTTTTTGTACTTTTAAAAGTTATACTAGTTAAATAAAAAGTTATACTGGTTATGCAAACTATTTTCTTTTAAAATTGTTGAAAACCAATTAAGCTAATAATAGCACGATTTCTTAAATTTTGAGTCAACTTCATTTTCATTACTTAAGAGTCTAAAAACTAATTTGGGGCTAATGATTATGATTAGGTTTGAAATGGAAGGAATATAAGAAAATATCTCATTCCAGTAGGTTGCAAATGGTTGCCAGATACTTGTATAGTAAAATTGCCTCATTAAGGGCAACAACTTTAAAAAACTGAAGCTATAAATTTGTCCACTGTAATTTTATCTTAGAGGTGTAGTGGGTCAGTCCCCATTTCTATTCTTTCACTTCACTTACAATGACTAAAACATCCAGTACTGTGTTTGAATCAGGATGGGCTAGGTGCTGCACCAGTCACCTGTAGGTCACTAGTAGGTCAGGTGACTCTACAGGGCAGCTCACCTTCACGTGGTGACACAGCATTCCCAGCTGCTTCCATCCCTGGCTACCCAACACGAGGTTTCACATCAGGGATGCCAGAAGAGCTAGACTGGAGAATCCTGCAAGGGCTTTTCTTTGCCTCCTCCGGATGTGGACCTTTCTGCTGACATTTCATTGGCCTGAACTAGTCACCCGGCCAAACCTGACTTGACTCTAAGAAGGCTAGGAGGTATAACTTCCTGTGTGCTGAGGGAAAATGAACAAGAAAAAAGATTTGATGAACACAGCATCGTCTCTGTCATAGTGTTCAATAGTAAAACTAAATATAAACCAATTTGAATGTGTTATAGGATCCAAACTTTACAACCAAAGTAATATAGAGAATTATTCAAACTAATGCCTTTATTTCCATTTCTATAAAGTACAACAGTACGTCCTCTGAATCAAAAGGAAGAAAAAACTTTTCTGATGTTCACGCAAGACAGTTCTTGAAACAAATTATTCCTTTCTGGAAGGGTTTCTCTCTGCAGATTTGTAATATATAAAAATCTGGGGGCTTCCCTGGTGGCGCAGTGCTTGAGAGTCCGCCTGCCGATGCAGGAGACACCAGGGAAGCCTGAAGCTATTTCTTAAAGTGTTGTTCTGGATCCCTTTCTCCCTTTAAGCCCCTGTCAAGGAGAATTCATCTCTTTCTATAGCTTCAACCCAACAGCTCCATGTTAGTGATGTTCAAATGTTTATCTTGAGTTCTAATCACTTTAGAAAACTGAGAGTCACTTTTTACTGCTATCAACATGTTCACTTCCATGTGTGATTACATATTTGCATCAGCTTCTGCAAATCTACTGTGGAACACATTTCCTTACCCTCCAAAAAAAAAAAAAAAAAAAAAAAAAAAAAAAAAAAAAAAAAAAATCTGGCCCCAACGTTGGAGAATTAGGCTAACTACTGTGTCTTTTAATCAGTCATTAAGACTAAATGGTTCTATTCTTGTCTCTAATCTCATATAATGAATAGCATATCAGTCCTGGTACTTCTTTTGGGTAGACATCAAGGAGATGGAGTATGAAAAATGTAGAGTCACAGAAAGCAGAGGTGTATGCTGATTTTTACCATTTTATTTCTAATTTAATGCATCTCCAAAATCTGAATCTCTCAGATGTATCTGGAGCTGAAACCTTTCTTTATTATTATTTTTAAAAATATTTATTTATTTTGTCTGTGCCGGGTCTTAGCTGTGGCATGTGGGATGATGATCATACGTGTTGTAGCATGCAAACTCTTAGTTGCAGCATGCATGTAGGATCTAATTCCCCAACCAGGGATCAAACTCGGGCCCCCTGCATGGGAGTGTGGAGTCTTACCCACCAGACCACCAGAGAAGTCCCTGGAACTGAAACCTCTCTAATGTCAAATTGGGAGGCCTGAAATTTTCAATTGTCATAATGGCCAATTCAGTTTATTTGATTAACTGTGTTATTTAAGTTCCTTAAATATAACATCTACTACCAGTAAATATTACAAAGCACTTTTCCCAATATTTCACGTAACTTAAATTTCTCAACAGCCCTGTGTGAAAGGAAAATCAAAATGAAGTTGGGGTCTTGCCCTGGTGGCGCAGTGGTTGAGAGTCTGCCTGCTGATGCAGGGGACACGGTTCGTGCCCTGGTCTGGGAGGATCCCGCATGTCGCAGAGCGGCTGGGCCCGTGAGCCAACGGCTGCTGAGCCTGCGCGTCCGGAGCCTGTGCTCCGCAACGGGAGAGGCCACAACAGTGAGGGGCCCGCCTACCGCAAAAAACAAAAAAAAACAAAAGAAAACCTCATGATTCCTTAAGGACAAATATTGTATGACTCGAGTAGGGGTCAATCACAATTCTCGCAAGGCAACTTTTAACAACCTCGTGGCTTTTTGTCTTTGTAAAGCCCCTGATTCTTTTTCTTCCCAGGAACACTCCTTTAGGGTTACCCAAATCTGTGTCTCCCCAGCTGCAATTCTTAAGGCCCCAAATAAACTTTTCTTACCTGCAGCCTCCTGCATTATTTTTTGGTTGACACCTGGGAGATAGATTTTACTACTCAGATTCACAAATGAGGAAAACAAGACATAAACAAGTACAGTAACTAAGGTCATTAAACTACTAAGTGGTGCTGGTGGGCTGAGAACTCAGACCATCTGACCCCAAAGTTCTTGCTCAGCAGCTCCACCTAATTGTTTCCAGGTGAACTGAGTGCTTCCAGGTTGGCACCTTAAATGTCATCAACTGTTAACACAAACTAACTAATTTAAGGTTGACTTAGAATGAAAATATTTTAAAAGTAATAGCTATTATCAATTATCATATAAAAAACGAATTATCCTTTCTTCATATTACTTCATATGTAGTGAATATAAAAACAACCCCAAAATCCCAAGATTTTTGAACTCTCTCAAAATAATTACATTTGCAAAAACAATTTTTTAAATGCTTTAGTTTGTATAATCTCTAGATCACTGCAGACATATCAAATGAGACTTTTTGAAAGAATAATCACTTTTGTTTGGAAGTCCAAAATTGTGCTCAAATATAGATGAAATATAAATACAGATGTAAATTATTTAATTTTTGACTTTTTAGAGTGGGGCCAGAACTCTGTATATTGATCCAAAGTAGATTCACAAGAATCTTTTTCACTTCACTTTCATCAGTTCACCTTCATTAACAATCTCTTCATGAAAGTCACAAAGCTTTATGACCAGCAGGAAACAGACTGGACCTTGAGTACATAATCAACCAGAGAAGCAAGAATTTTAAGTTTCCAGTGGCTGGAATTTTCTACTAAATCTTTATTAATGTACATCAGCTTTACATAAAACTTCACTATGCCTTTTAGTCTCATTTATAGGGATTGTTTCATCTGCAAATTCAACAAACATATAGCCACAGTCCAAAGGTGTAGGACCCCAAGAGAGTTACATAGATGATGATTGCAGGATCTCTCCTCTAAGGGAACTTAAAAATGTTAAGTTTGGTTATTTGGGTAACCAAATAGGAGATAAGGGGAAGTGAATCTACATCAAAATATTCCACTATTAAGTAAAAAAGAAATGATAGAATATCGCACTTTTGCAAACCCCTGTGAATTAATAGATATAGGCATTATGCATCAACACCTCCTAAGATCATAAAAAGAGAGAGAACTAGACATTATGTGCCTCCTGAGGGAGGACCACACCACCACCTAAAATGCTGCTACAGGGATCGAACCTAAATCGGGTCTAGACTTGAGATCCAGCTACCAATTCGTAGGAAACAGAGAACAGAGGGACATGTTGAACTGCACCGTGATCACGCAATCTGCAAAGTCCTGACTGCAGAACACTCTACAGGTCAAAAGGCTTCTGTTCTTCAGGAGAAAAATTGTAAAGTTAAAAAAAAAGACAAAAGATATCTCAAGTTTTTAAAAAGTGTATATATGTGTGTAGGGAGGAAACTATTCTGTCTATGAGAGAACATTTGGGTGGTAAAACCATGTAAGAGAAAGGAAGTGAAATGTTTACTGTAAAGGTTAGGATAATGGTTGTTGTTGGTGAAACAGTTGTGACTGGTAAGTGACTACAGAAGGGGCTTCCAAGGGTAGGTAGGGAAGTTGTTTCTGACCTGGTGGTAGTTACAAGGGTGTTTGCCTTAGAATAAGTGATTAAGGCAAACATTTTCTTTGTGTTGTCTCCTGTGTCTGTGGGTTATTTTGTGCTAAAAAATTTTTTTAAAGAAAAAGTTTGGAGCTAGAGGCCAGTCCTACCCAAGAGCTGAAATATATTTTCTTCACACTGAGCTATTTGCAAATGTATCCATTTGGTTTCCTGGGAAAATATCAATATT